CCCCCCCGGTCAAACTTCTCAAAAATAAATCTTTTGGCATTTCAAGCCTAATTCCTCTATAGACTTTCAAATAATATTCCGGACACGCTCCTAAGCCCAAAATTACCATACAGAGCTATTGAAATCATCAAAATTCAAATCCGAGATTGTTTACATATAGGTCCATATCCGGTCTACTTTTCTAACTTAAAATTTTCAATTATGAGACTAAGTGTCTCATTTCACCCCGAGTTCCTTCCGAACTCGAACCAACTAACCCGATATAACATAATATAGCTGAATAACACAAAAAGAAGTAGGAATGGGGAAAACATGGTTATAACTCTCGAAACGACCGGCCGGGTCATTACATAAAAACAACCTTCTTAAATGGAGATTTGGAGGAAAATTTTTATATGTAACAACCTGAAGAGTTTGTAGTTCCTGAAAAAGAAAATAAGATGTGCCGACTTGTTAAGTCACTTTACGTACTAAAACAAGCACAAAAACAATGGCATGCGAAATTTGACCAAACAATATTGTCAAATGGTTTCAAGATCAATGAGTGTGACAAATGTGTTTACATTAAGAATACTCCAAATCAAATAGTTATTGTTTCTTTATATGTGGATGATATGTTGATAATGAGTAACGTCATTGCTAACATAAATGCTACTAAGCACATGCTTACTAGTAAGTTTAATATGAAAGACTTAGGAGTTGCCGATTTAATTTTGCGAATTAAGATCCTTCAGACTCCTCAAGGTCTAGCTTTGTCTCAATCTTATTATATTAAAATGGTACTTGAAAAGTTCCAATATTTGGACTTTAAAGTTGCAAAAACGCCAATTGATTTAAACCATACTCTTGTAAAGAATAAGGGTCAAAGCAAGTCTCAATTGGAATATGCTCAAGTGTTGAAAAGTTTGATGTATATTATGAATTGTATACGACCTGATATAGCTTGTGCGATATGTAAGCTTAGTCGATACACAAGTAATCCCGACCAAGCTCATTGAATAGCAATGAAACGATTTTTGGGATATTTGAAATATACCCAAAACTATGCATTGTACTACAATAATTATCTCGCAGTTATTGAGGGATATAATGATACAAATTGGATCACCGGATCAACGGAATCAAAATTCACAAGTGGATACGTTTTTACTATTGGTGGAGGAGCAGTATCTTGGAAGTCGTCCAAACACACATGCATCGCCCGCTCTATAATGGAGTCTGAGTTTATAACTTTAGATAAGGCCGGTGAAGATGCGGAATAACTCCGAAATTTCTTAGAAGATATTCCATTTTGGCCCAAACCTTTGGCACCTATATGCATACATTGCGACAGTCAAGTTACAATAGGAAGGGCTGAGAGCGTTATGTATAACTGAAAATATCGTCACATATGACGAAGGCATAATACCGTTAGACAACTACTCTCTAGTGGAATTATCACAATTGACTATGTAAAGTCAAAAGATAATGCATCAGATCCGCTTACAAAAGGCCTACCTAGAGAGGCAGTTGAGAAGTCATCAAAGAGAATGAGACTATGGCTGAGGACAAGTCACTGTGGCGGTAACTCTACCTAGAAGACTGGAGATCCCAAGATCTAGGTTCAAGGAGATCAAACAAAGTCATTAATGACGGTTCAACAATGTCAAATAAATTTTTGGTTCATTCTCATGATGAAGACAATATTCAGTATCAAGGATAAAGCGTTATGACTTTTTAATAGTATTAAAGTTTGATACAGAGTATATTAAATAGTGTATCTACGGGATAATACGTTTATGAATCACCCATGTAAGTGTGAAGTATAAGCCGCTTCAAGGAAAATATTGTAAGGCCAGTTCTCTACGCACTTATGAAACTAGGCGGTGTTCATGGCTGAAACGAACACAACAATGAGAACCAAAGATGGTTAAGGGTTGATTGGGTGATGTATGGCTGTCTAGGTATACACCAAAGTTCGACGGTTCAAAGATATCAAATCTACCGATTGATCGAGTATATCCAACATATGTTCACTACGAAAAGTTCAAAGGAAAGCCTACTTATCCATATGAGATTAATCCTTACTTGCGAATCACACATTTTTCTTCATGCATATTTGTTTCGGATAGCCATTCCTCATTCATGTGGGGGATTGTTGGGTTTTGTTAATAAAAAATAAAAGAGGTGTGAATGAAAAATGGTGGGAAAAGAAATGGAGGGAATTTAAATAATTTTTGCGGAATAGACACCTTATCAACAAACATGCACCTTTGCACCTGTTGGGACTCAACTTCGTTGTCTATATATAGAGAGGCTTAGCCTCATTTTCCACTACCAAAATCTGAACATCTCTCCCCTCTATCTTCTGCATTCTGCATTATTTTTCAAAAGCAAAAACGTAAGCATTTTGTGTGATTTGCTCCGCCATTTGAGTTCGCCGAAGTTCTGTGATTTGAAGTGCCGCTATTACAAAATAGTTATTCCGTTCTATTCTGGGAGGAATTAATCCGAAATCTTGGGCAACTGTGAGAGGATTAAATTCCTTAAGGACATACAAAAAACTTGTGGGCTTGGAATTTTTCTGTTTTAGTTTCTTAAACTAACATTTTTTTATTTTCCGGTTTTGAATACAGTGAGATTATCTTGGGTCATGTCCGAAGAAATGTTTCTAATGACGCTTAGTTTAAACCAAGTTCGTTGGGACTTTGGCATTTAAACAAGATCGGAGAGAGCATTTTAGATCAATTAATTCATTTTCTATTTTGTTTACAATGGTTTGTGCAATCTCTCTTTTGAACCAAATGTCCATTCTTTTATTAATCTTTTTCTTAATGAAAAAAGGAGAATTGCTGTACCGCACCTACCAAGGACACTTGTTATTTGTGAATCAATATTCAATAATATGTTTTCTTTTTTTGGCTCATTGCATTTGGATCAAAAGCTTTTTAAAAGAATTGACTTTAGTGCTTCAGGACTTCAGGTAAAACCCACAAGGAAAAATGTTTGTTAAATAATATCAATATGTTACGTAGCCAAATGAATTAATATATGTGAGTGAAATTTTAGCAGGAATAAAGAGGCATAATAAATGCAATTCGGTAATTGTCAACGATCTTACAGAAATTAGAACTTAATATTAGGCTTAGCTTCTCGCAATACGCGTGGCAATGTACTCACCTTTTACTTTTTTATATACACGTCACTACAAATAATTTATCATGTGCTCATTACCATTTTAAATTATTTATTGGTAGGTACATGTTACTATACCAAGATAGATATTAAATAACTTCATGATTTGATTCGAAAAAAAATGCACATTTATTATTGTTGTTATACGATAAACAAAGGAGTAATATTAATTATTAGGTGTGTTATTTAAAAAAAAAGCTTATTTTACCACATTATTTAGGATTGTAACATATATAATAAATATATTACTCTTTCCATTTTATTTTAAGTCTTAATTTGATTGAGTATGAAGTTAAGAATGTATTTTTTAATCCATGGTACTAAACTGAACGGATGTACAACATATCAAAAATATTCTTGAATTTTATGGTCTTATATGTATTATACTAAAGAATATCATTAAGGATAAAATAGAAACGTTAAATTTAAATTTACTAAATATATAAATATAGTATTTTTAAAAAAAAAACAATATATATATNTCTATAAATTCTAGTATAATTATATTTGTGATAACACAAAATAGTATGGTCAATCAAACAATATTCTCCTAACGTCACAGTTTATATGACACACTTTTACTTTTTAGTTTGTCCCAAAAAAATTATATATTTTTAAATTTAAAAATAATTAATTTTATTTTATTCCTAATGAGATGACTTATACATGTACAAATGTTTATCGCTTGTTTTTCCCACATAATTGGGAAGGAAGGATTAAATGTTTTGTTAAACAGATGTTTGTTATACTCAAATACTCTAATTTAATTCTTTTTGTTGAGATTATATTAATTAATTAATACAACCAATCAATTGAACATTAGTGTTGCCTTTGTCGGCCTTAGTTCACAAAATTTACCAAACTGTTCAACACTAAAATCACCTCGTGGCAAGGTGGGTGCAGTCGTACAAATTTGAACACATTTAAACAGTCAAATAATTGACGAAAGATGCAATAAGTCTGACACTTCACGTTCTGTAGGGTTTACTGAGCTCGAAAAAAGTACAATTTAATTTCAGGATATGGCCGAATCTCAGCCGATCGGAGCTCCGGTAGCCCTCCCCGGAGATACGGTGCTCGTTACTGTTAACGATACTCCGATTCCGGTGACTATGGAGGTTAGCACTTCAGCGACGATCGGCTCGGAGAAGCGGAAGCGAGGGCGGCCGCCACGTGGACAAGCAAGGAAGCCACCGCCGCTGAAGATTCAGCGAGTGGAGGAGGAAGAAGAAGAAGATGTTTGCTTTATATGTTTCGATGGTGGTTCACTCGTGTTATGCGATCGCAAGTGAGTTAATCGTGTTGTTTGTTCCTTTTTTTTTTTTTTTTTTTTTTTTTTTTTTTTTGCACAAATTAGGTTTTCATTTTTCCCAATTGATATAGAGGATTTGTATAGCCGATCTTAATTAGTTTCTTATTGAGGAGCAGTTGATTGATTTTCCAATGAATTTAATTTAATTTCTTTGTACTATCTGTGAATTTTAAGGTTACTTTTCAGGTTACCTACCATTTTTATTAGATTATCAATTAATGCTGATTGACAGATTTACTTGTAATTATCTATTAAGTGATGACCTAATTGTGTAAATATTTTTCTGCACTGTCAGTATATAGAACTTAAGCTCTTTCCCAAATGAATTTAAGTTACGATAGCAGGTTACTTTGCTGATTATTTACCGTTTTATCAGATTATCAATTAATGTTGATAAAGAGATTTACATGTAATTACCTAATAAGTAACGTGATTGTGCAATTATACCGTTAGTGTATAGAACTTAAACTCGTTTCCAACTTCCAGCTTTTCGTACATACTGGATGCTAGTGTACTATAATTTCTGATAAAATTGATACTCCGCCCGTTATTAGTACTTCATAAATGGTAATTTATATATCCTAATCTTTTCCAAATTGTTTTCTTAATGGTTAGGGGTTGTCCGAAGGCATACCATCCAGCTTGTATTAAGCGGGACGAGGCATTTTTCAGCTCCAATGCTAAATGGTTCTGTGGTACGTTTCCCCTTCATGAACTCAAAATAACCTACTATTTACTTTATGCAGCTGGTTATTAGCTTTTTTCCTATTTTGGCTTTTAGTTTATTCCCGGGAGTTTTCGTCAATAAAGTGGAATGAATACAGAGAATTCATATAGCTGCCCCTACTAGTTTGGGATTGAATTCTAGTTTTTTTTGTTGCGGGATTTTCTCTTCAATAGAGCAGAACAGATTTGAAGACTTCATACAATCAACTCCATCTAGTTAAGGATTGAGATGCAGTTGTTGTTGTTTATAGGATTTTCTCCCAACTTTATCTTACACCGCATTTCTGAATTGTGTCTTAGATCGGCATTTATTAGGTTAGTCCATGCTAATCTGCCTTCTCATTCAAGGTTAGGAATTTGCAGACCCAAGATATTACATGAAAAGAAAAATTAGAAAGTGGACACCAATTTGGAGTGGCATATGATTGGTAGATATTGAACTAGTAATAAACAGAGGGAATAGTAAATATTTGACTGCATTGCATTAAGACTTATGATCTTGCATGACAATAATTCATGTTGTTATGTTTATACCCATTAAAAAAATCTGGAATTGGCCTTGTATAGATGTTGCAGCCAGTCTTAACTATTAGGTAACCCACTTCATCACCTGGTGCTTCACTTTGATTCTTGTGCACAATAATTTGTTACTCCAACTTTTCTTAATAGGAAAATGTATGTTAATTTAAACTTCAAAAGATTAGTTCATTTTTCTATATGATGCATGGGATCAACTCTTTGTTCCATTTCAATATTGTCCTACCAAAATCATGGACTGTAAGCTTTTTAATTAAAAAAAGAGAGGATTATGAGCTGTAAGTCTTCAAGATTTTGTAGTTGCTGGCTGCAACTTACCTATGTCATTTCTTCTATTCTTTTACTGATCACATTACCAGTTCTAGAAGGTTTGCATGTTATAACATGCGAAAATTTCTGTTTTCAGGTTGGCATATTTGTAGTGTGTGTCAAAAGGCTTCACACTATTTGTGCTATACTTGTACATATTCATTGTGCAAGGGATGTATAAAAAATGCTGATTACTTCTGTGTTCGACGAAACAAAGGATTTTGCTCAATGTGCATGCGAACTATCATGCTGATTGAGAATAAAGACCAAGGAAACAACGGAACGGTAAATCATATGCCCCATGATATTGACAGATTTTTAATTTTGCATGTAATAATTTCTTTGAGATTCCGCATATTTTGAGTAAGTTACTTCCAAGCATGTTTAGTCCGTCGGTTTATGAAAAGGAAAGAACAGTTGTAGTCTTTAGGAACTGGACCTGGTTATCAGTTTAAATTACTAATTTTGCTCTCTTTTATTTTTCTTGTCATGTCTTGCATAAAGAAAGAAATCATTTAATTTGATTCTTTATGTAATGTTTTGTTACTATCTAGTTTCATTTTCTTTATTTCAGCAAATAAAAAAAATGTTGGCTTGGTTTTGACATTTGATGTGATTTAAATTTCTATAATACCAAAAACCTGTCCAGGTTCAAGTAGATTTTGATGACAAAGGAAGCTGGGAGTATCTATTCAAGTTGTATTGGGTATACTTGAAAGAAAAGCTATCACTAACACTAAGTGAACTTACTCAAGCTAAAAATCCCTGGAAGGAATCAGATAGGATACATGGGGAGCTGAAATATAGTCATCATGTTACAAATGGTAAGATATTAATGTACTAATAACTTTATTAAATGTTTACTCACCATGACCTAATTAGAAATTCTTTTGTGCTTATCCAGTTAAAGAACAGGGATCTACCATTGCTCAGGGCCAAATTAGGGAGAAACAAGAGGCTCATGGAACTAATATATTTGAGAAGCTAGGAAATCGAGTTGCGGTTGATCAGGCAGTTAAAGAACAGGGATCTATAATGGCTCAGTGCGAAATGAGTGAGAAAACAGACGCTCGTGAGACTAATATATTGGAGAAACTAGGAGATCGAGCTACTGTTGATCAGGCTGTGGATGGGTCTGGATCTGAAACTTCAATTGCAAGTCTCTCAACAGCAAACTCAGCATCCACTAACATCAGTGAAACGGATGAAGTGTGGCATTACCGTGACCCTACTGGTAAAATGCAAGGATCATTTTCAATGATACAGTTGAGGAAATGGAGTAAATTGGGGCTTTTCCCACTTGATATGAGGATATGGACAAATGATGAGTATGATGACTCGGTACTTTTGACTGATGCACTAAATGGGCTGCTTCACAAAGCCCCTCTGGTTCATGGAAAGACATCAAGCCGGTCTCAGGAGCTTGGAGCTGCCTCTGCTGACGGAAATGTTGCTGAACGGTGTGGACGTTCTACTGGAACAGGGAGAGAATGCAGAGAAATGGAGGTACCTTGCCACCGTGCAAGTAAAGACTCAAATGGCAATGCTGAGAATGCGAGGATAGATGGGTTGTCTGTTCCATTTCCAAAATTTTTGGACTTGATGAATGGAAGTAATGTTTATTCAGACAAACTCCAACTGTGTAGCCCAGTTCCTTCGTCCCGTCACGGGGAGGTGCATGTAGCTCTTCCAAGTAAGGAAAGAGGTCTTGAAAATGTGGAGCTTCACTCTGCCAAAGGTCAAGTAATTCAGGATTCCTGTGGAAGCAAAATGTGCCAGATTACTGATAGTTACAACCGTAAAACCCAATCTAACAACCAGAGTTATGTAGGACAGTCTTCTGGACAGAATTGGGGGTCATCAACCAGTTGTAGAAGTTCAAATAACTTGGACACTGGTTTTGTTTCAGGTACCAATTCAAAAAATTTATTTGAGCAGAAAGGTAATGTGAATCTTCCAGATCGACCAAGTCCTACTTCAAATACAAGCTATGACGATATTGAAGCTCAGGCTGCTGAAAAGCTGCTTTCTTTGAGTTCAGGTGTTCCTCTTCGTGCTTCAGATATACATGATTGGTCCACCTCTACTCTGAAGTCCTATGGTGAAGCTAAAGCTGGACGGGTAGCTGAAAACAAAGCATCTGCTCCTTCTAAGCTCTCTGTGCAGGATTCAGGCCCTAGCTGGAGCAGTGGTTCTAGTCTAGCTGATGAACGCGATGGAAATACTCCAACTGCAGAACCATCTGCTGAAGAATGGGATTCCGGTCTTGTTTCCGTTTCTTCGCTGAAGCCAGCTGAAGCAGTGAGTGATCATGTTGCCACGCCCACTCCTGTCGCAGATCAACTTAATTATACCTCCCCATCTCTCCAGGTGTCAAACTTATCCAATTGGCAGGCAGCTGTTAATGAGCCTATTGAGTTCAGCACTTTGGCTGAAGAGTCGGTGTCAGATCTATTGGCTGAAGTTGATGCAATGGAATCTCAAACTCAAAGTGGTATGGGTTCGCCTACGTCAGCAATGAGGTTTAGTGAGCAGATGATACCAGGTTACAAAAACTTTATTCTAGCTCTCTTTGAGGACCTGAGTCCTACGCCTGATCCTGCAAAAAGTGATGGCTTGAGCTCAAATGGAGATATAAAGTTGCCTTGTCAATCACCTGTGACAGATGAGCTAGTTGGGGCATCTCAAGGTGATGCCTTTGAACCTTTAAAGAGGTCTGATGGGAATTCATCTAATGAGCAGCGAAACAGAAACTAAGTAGGCTAACATGTCAATCACCTGTGACAGCCGAGCTAGTTGGGGCCTCTTAAGCTGATGCTTTTGACCCTTTAAAAGAGGTCGGTCAACAAGCTGTGAGGGAGAAACTAAGTCAGCTGATGTTTACTTTACCCAAGAGGAAGCTGGGTCCAATAGGCTGCACCTTGTAGGAGTCAAAAACACTAAATTTCTCAGCATTAGTAGGAGTATAGAATTGCAAGCTATGAGCACGGACCGTGGGACAGTTCAGGGATACATGATTTGGGGCTGATCAGTTCGGGTTGGTTGGGGTACCAGCATGGAGGTTGCACAAAAAGTTCATAATGAATCGTTGTACTTTGCCGGGAATCAAGTGTGGGATAGCCCAGAGGAGGTATATGGGGGAGAGTTCCGGTGCCCCAAGAAATCGGGCTGTTCAAGGAGGGGACTCGGGATTTTGTAGGATTGGTTATTGTGGAGCAGGCAGCCGCTGACTGGTAGTGGAGATACTCTTAGCCTACTCTGCGAAGAACAGTGAGTTTGTAAATTGTATGAGTTGCAAGGAGGATGCTTCATTGTAACAGGTTAAATTGTATTTAACTGAAAAATTATCAGATTTAAAAATGGCAAAATGCGATTTTCCCCTTAGAATCGTTATGTTAACTTCGGAGAAATGAGGTGCAGAAAAATCTGTGTACATTGTAATAGGTTAATTCTGACCCAGAAGAGGTATGTCTATATGCGCAAACTGCAGTACTGAATTTGTACCCATGCATTTATATGTACTTATTACTTGTATGAGTTTGCGGGTACCAAGAGTGAATAAAGGAGGGTGGAGGTTGTAGTAGGTTTGACAACCCGTGTAAAACTAATCAAATTATGATGAATTTTCACTATATGGAACTAGAATTCGAATGTGTTCACCTAGGCACTTGATACATTGGACCTTAGGGCTGTGCATAATTTGGTAAATACCGAATTACCGTACCGAAATCGAAAATTTTGGTATTTGGTGTTTGATATTTTAGTATTCGGTATGGTTGGTTTAAGTTTTAAAAAATATTAGTATTAGGTATGGTATTTGATATTTTATAATGAAATATCGAAATACCGATATCGTACCGAAATATATATTATATTACATAATATACATATTATTATTTATAACATAAATATAAAAATCTAAAATTTTATTTTCCGTTATTCTCTAAGTTCATCAATTAACTCTAAGCAAGTAACAAGACATTTCTAATGATAAAATTTATTCTTTTATGAATAATTTTCTCTCTCTGGGTTGATATTTGCTAGTTTTGGACAAAACTTTTGTCAACAAATGTTTTTAGTTTTGTACTTTTGAGTACTTTAATTTAGAATATTACAGTCTATGACTCTATGCACAAGTTAGTATTCAAACCGAATAAACCGAAGTTACCAAACCGAATAAACCGAAACCAAAAGGAGAAAAACCGAACCATACCGAATTTAATTAGGTACGGTGTTGGTGTTGCATTTTAAGAAACTGAATACCGAAAATACCGAATCGAAATATCTAAATATCGTACCGCACTACAACAAATTTGATTATCAGTGATGAATTATTTTGTCACCTATGATTCACTTTTCGTCACTAAAGATTTTTTGTGACAAAAAATTTTTTGTCAATATTTCGTCTCTAAAACACCGTCACTAATAATATACAAAGGCAACTTTATGTTTCGTCGCCAAATAATGATATATTAAAGACGAAATCTTTTTTCGTCCCCAAATACGTAATATTTATGACGGATTTATTTGTCATAAAAAGTACAAAAAATTGTACTTAATAGTATGATTTCGTCACTAAAAATGCATTAATGTCGACGAAAGTGGCTCGTCGCTAAATATTTAGTTTAATTGGTGACAACGTCAAATGTCTCTAAAGCTATGTGTGTTTCGTAGTTGAAAAACCGTAATTTTGTCACTAAAGACTACCCTTTATCCACAAAAAAATATTTTGTCCCTAAATATATAATTAGTGACAATTATAATTTTGTAGT